GAAGGGACGCTGGATGAAGACTGGATTGCTTTTTTCTTTTATTTTTATCATTAGGACTGTTTTATAAAATTGATGAATGTTAGGAAAATGTTGAAATGAAACTATTTGGCTCTTATAAAAATGTCTAAAGAACTAGGTAAGAATGTTATGGTTTAGGAGAAGTTGGTAAAAATTAAGATTTAAGTTTTAAACTTTAAGGTTTTCTATAAGATAAGATGAAAATAGATCAAGGTAATGTGATGACAGAATACTATGAATTATGGAAAGGATTTGCTGTGATTATTATAAAACAGGATACAGGAAAAGGGAGGAGGAGGAGGTCAAGGAAAGAAGGTATTGAAAGTGGAGAATTGGAGAATGATGGTGTCAAGGCTGCCTCAGGTCTCAGCTCACAAAAGACCAACGCCAATCTCTTCTTATATTCAAAAGTGTTTATTGCAGTTCATTGTTTGCTTCATATCCGAGGCGCGCAGCCTCACGTCTGTACGCTTAGACCGTTGAAGTCCCCTCTGAGTCAGTCCCTCCCCTGCACCAGTTTAAGAGCCTTGCGCTGCTCCACCTCTTTCTCTCTTTCCTTTTCCTCAGGGTCTTCCTGCCCGCTGGGGTTTCGCCCTCCGGGATTCCCTGACGCGCTATCCCCCGACTGCTCTTCCCCCCTCCTGCGGGCTTTAGGACCTGGCCCTTCCTCCGGGCTCCCTGTACTTCCGCGCGCCTCTACATTTGAACTTGGCGCGCGCACCCAACCTCTAACTTTCCTTTTGACAGTTACACTACTCCCTTCACTACTCCCCTCCCCTTCCGGGAGGGTGGCTTGCTCCGACCTCCCTCCCTTCTCTGCTGCCGGAGCTGCTTCCCCTGATACACTGGAACCTCCACCCCCTTCGCTGCACTCTGGTGGGGAGGCTGGTCCTGACGCCCAGCTGCCACTTTGGGATCCCCTGCTGGCCCCCTGTTCCTGACACGTCCCCCTGGGGCTTCCCTGGCCTTGACCACCGGCGCCCCCTTCTGGGAATCCTCTGATTCGCTGGAAAGACTCATGGAATCTCTTGAGTCATTGTCATCCTCTTCCTCGCTGTCCTGGGATTCATCCCCATCGCTCTCCATCTCCTCCCTACCCTGTGCCTCTGTCCCTGAACCCCTGACAGATGGTTTAATTTATTTATTTATTTATTTTTATTTTTCTGTCTTGTTTTTTCTTTTGTGTAATTTTTTTAAAAAAAACCCTCTTTTTTCAATAAATATCATTTAAAAAAATAATAATAAAAGCAAAAACATTATAGAAACATTAGCACTAGATTTCAGCAAGAATGGAAGAAGAGGCAATAAATATCTCACCAAGAACCCAGTTCCAGATGGAAGAAAGAATAATCTGAAATTTCCTCAATGCCGGCTTCTTTAGATCAACCAATCCACAATGCATTACTTTTATAAGATTTTTTAAAGTCTTAAAAAAAAGAACAACAGAAACAACTTGGAATTAATTTTTTGTATACACAATATTTTATATTGCACCTTCACCATTCTCAAGGAGAGAGAGAGAGAGACAGAGAGGGTTGCACTTTAAGGTTAATGAACCTATTAAAAAAAAGAGGCAGGACAAAACCTTCAAGAAATTAGCCCCCTCCTCTAAAACATTTGGTGGAAAAGCCATGGCTTTACATAGTCTCTGAAAGCGAAGAGCACAACCAGATGTCCCAAGGAAGGGCATTCCAAAGTTTCTTTATTTTTTGACTGTCATATCCTGTGTGTCTCTCCATGTATTTGGGAAAGAGCCTATCCCAGACCTACCAGGAATTAAACTAGTGGCCTTTTCAGTGCAATGCATGTAGACATCCAAGTCCTTACTGAAATAAATGTCACCAGTCTCCAGCCTTTGCAAGAAACTTGATTTGCATGGGATGTTCGCATATTTCCAATATACCTACAATTGGCTCCAATAACGGCACTGAAAATACACCCGAAAGGATGAACTCCAAAAGTCGATGCAGGTAATGGGATTACAGTTCCTCCTCCTACATGAGACAGCAGCCTTCATTTCAATGAATGGGTGTTCCATAAATGATCCGCCTTGATGAAATGCTTATTGACATCGACCACACATTTCACACCTTGTTAGTGGAGTGTTCCTCTAAACCCGTTGAGAAACTGAGCGGGCTCTGTGCTGGTGATGTTGCCTTGTGTGTCCAAACTGAAATTATCATATCTAAGGATGCAGGAATATTTTATCCACACAGATTACTTTAAAGGCTTTCAGAAGACAGGGAGTTCCTACTCTTTTGAAAGATTAAACTGAAATGGTACCATTCATTACACGTTTCTGGAGCGTAGAACCACTTCCCCCTTGGGTCGTATACAGTTGAGTTCTATTCCAAGTAGACCCCATTGAAATTAATAAACATAAATTACCTAGTAATGCCCCTTAATTTCAATGGTTCTACTCTGAGTATTACATCAACATCATCATCATTTCTTTATACCTCACCCATCTGGCTGGCTTTCCCCAGCCGCTCTGGGTGGCTCCCAACAGAATATTAAAAATATGATACAACATCAAACATTAAAAACTTCCCTAAACAGGGCTGCCTTCAGATGTCTTCTAAAAGTCAGATAGTTGTTTATTTCCTTGACATCTGATGGGAGGGCGTTCCACAGGGCGGGCGCCACTACCGAGAAGGCCCTCTGCCTGGTTCCCTGTAACCTCACCTCTCACAGTGAGGGAACTGCCAGAAGGCCCTCAGAGCTGGACCTCAGTGTCCGGGCTGAATGATAGGGGTGGAGATGTTCCTTCAGGTATACTGGGCCGAGGCGGTAGAGAATTCTAGTATAGAATACAACCCTGGTTCTTTATCATATATTCCCCTGGTGATACTGCTGAGACCTAATTGTGGAATAAAATACCTTGGCCTCATGCAGAAGTAATTCTATGCTCTGTCAAATACCTTCATGTAACTTCATTATTATTAATATTATTATTACTATTACCATTATTATTTGAAGGTTCTGAATTATTTAGTTATATAACTCCTTTCATCCTAAGATCTCAGGGCAGTTCACTAATAATAATAATAATAATAATAATAATAATAATAATAATAATTTATTTATACCCCACCCCGGTTTTTAAAAACCGGGCTCAGGGCGGCTAACAACAAGTTTAAAACACTTAATTGTAAAAGCAGCATAAAATACAGTATAAAAACATGAATAACAGTAACATTCAAAGTTCAGAAATCAATTTAGGGGAAGTCCATCTAATAAGCATTAGATAACCACCAGGGCTAGCTGGCTGAATTAGTCCTACTTGGGCCAGCGAGGAGTCCAGGATAAAATACAGGATAAAAACAAGTGAAGAAGTAAAAAACGAAACAGCAAAAGCAATAACGCCCCTTTTCTACAAGCACATTTAAAAGGCTGTAGAATATTAATCAGCCCGTGTAGTGCTGAATTGGAATTTGCTGTATAGAGCAAAGGAAATTCTGAGTGGCACCGCCGTGGTCAGTGCTGTGGTTCTCTTAGAAGGAGAGCTGTGTTTATTTTGCAATGTCCTTTTCCATAGGAAGTGTGCCAGTAAAAATCTGGGGAAATTAAACATTCTCTTTTCTTTGGAAATGCATCAAAGATAAGTGTGTTGTTTTAAGGAATTATTGTAGGAACAACATCTTGGTGTATGTGCCTCAGCAGTAATGCTGTGTGCTCTCCTGATGTAACTGATGAGACGTCTTACAGTTGGCTAGACTTCTTGGAAGCAAGTGTCTTCTGGAGCAATTGAAGAAGAAGTAGAAGAAAAAGAAGAAGAAGAAGGGGAGGAGGAGGAGGAGTTTGGATTTGATATCCTGCTTTATCACTACCCTAAGGAGTCTTAAAGTGGCTAACAATCTCCTTTTCAGTCCTCCCCCACAACAAACACTCTGTGAGGTGAGTGAGGCTGAGAGACGTCAAAGAAATGTGACTAGCCCAAGGTCATGCAGCAGCTGCATGTGGAGGAGCAGGGAATCGAACCCAGTTCACCAGATTACAAGTCCACCACTCTTAACCACTACACCACACTTCTAACCATAGAAGGCATGGATTTACACAGGCGAGGCATGCCACGGTGGCCAACATTTATGCATCTTGGAAGGGGTCATGATAACACAGCAGTATGCAGGTGGCACTGTGGGTTAAACCACAGAGCCTAGGGCTTGCTGATCAGAAGGTTGGCGGTTCAAATCCCTGTGATGGGGTGAGCTCCCATTGCTCGGTCCCTGCTCCTACCAACCTAGCAGTTCGAAAACACGTCAAAGTGCAAGTAGATAAATAGGTACCGCTCTGGCGGGAAGGTAAATGGCATTTCTGTGTGCTGCTCTGGTTCGCCAGAAGCAGCTTAGTCATGCTGGCCACATGACCCAGAAGCTGTACTCCAGCTCCCTCGGCCAATAAAGTGAGATGAGTGCCGCAATCCCAGAGTCAGCCATGACTGGACCTAATGGTCAGGGTCCCTTTACCTTTACCTTTTACCACACATTCTCTGCACGGAGAATATTCCAAGTCTCATCCCTCATATCTCTGGTTAAAATGAGTCCCAGGAAGAGCATAAGAAGAGTCCGGGGGGATTAGACCCAATCCAGATCTAGTCCAGAATCCAGTTTCCCCTACACTGGCCAACCAGATGCTTCTGGGAAGTTTGCGAGAAGGACTTGGATCCAACAGCTCTTTCCCCGGTTACTGGTATTCAGAGACATGCTGCCTGTGGTCCTCCTGATCACCATAATTAGCAACCATGGACAACTTCATCAGCCATTAATCTGTCTAATCCCATTTTGAAGCTATTTGAGACGAGGCCTGCAGCCAAACCATGGAGAACCACTTCCAGTTAGAGGAGACAGCAATATATTGATGGACCAACAGTCGACTTGAGAATAAGGCAGTTTCATCAAAATCCAAGAATCTGAAAGGAGAGGGGCTTTTCTCTCTATTTTTGATGGCATCTTGGCATGGACTCTGCTAGTTTTAGCATATGAACACTGTATGAGCTCAGTCGGTAGAGAGTAAGACTTAATCTCAAGGTCATGGGTTTGATCCCCACGTTGGGTAAAATATCCCCTCATTGCAGGGGGTTGGACTAGATGATCCTCACAGTCCTTTCTAACTCTATGATTCTATGATTCTATTGTTTTCCTCTCCAAATCCTCATTTTATATCTCTCCCCCCCCCGTCAGTGGCGTAGCGTGGGGGGTGCAGGGGGGGCCGGCCGCACCGGGCGCAACATCTGGGGGGGGCGTGCTCGCACTCACAGCTCTCTGCCCCTACCTGGCTCACTCACTCTCTCTCACTGCAGTGCTGGCTGTGCGAATCCGATCCGAGCCGCTGGGTCACCGCCCACTGCGGAGAGAGAGCGAGGGACTATCTGGGGGAGGGACAGTGCAGCGGCTGCCCAGCGCAGCGCTGAGCGCGGGAGAGAACCACACCAGACCAGACCAGGCAGCAGCAAGAAGAAGCTGGCAGCGGCGGCAGGTTAGGGGTTAGGGGGCGCAAATTACTTGCCTTGCCCCGGGTTAGGGGGCGCAAATTACTTGCCTTGCCCCGGGTGCTGACAACCCACGCTACGCTGCTGCCCCCCGTGACTCTTTGGACTCTTCAAACAGCTGTCATTTACATTTCTATGTCTATTGCCATGGTTTACACACTCTCTTTGCTTTGAACAGACCTGGAACATTTACACCATAATCCCTAAGAATGACAAATTGTTCCACATCAAGAGCACACTCCTCCCAGCCCCTGTTGGCTTCCTCTCAGAGGTCAATTTAAAAGCTGCTCTGCAACCCTTCGGAGGCAGAGTGCCTGCAATCTGCCTGAGTGCAGTCCAAGTGGAGCAACGTCCTTTGTATAGGCTCAGCTTCTTGGCAAATGGTGCTTAATACAGCTGGACTCTTGGCCCTACGCTACTGTCTCAGCCATGCATCAAGACTATGCAGCTGACCTTGCTCATGGAACAGGTTGCATTTCTGAGAACGATACCTTAGTTTTGGACTTTGCCTTCTTGCCGAGCAACCTAAATTTGCTGGGATTCTGGGAAAATATCTATAACGAACTGAAAAAGATGTTTAGATTTTCATTTGGGAAAAAAACTCTGAATCCTTTCTCCTAGGTATCATGTCAGAGGAAATAAAAAGAACGGTCAGACCAATATTTATGTATGCAACTACGATGGCAAGGTTATTGATTGCCAAAAATTGGAAAAGCAGCAGCGTCCCAACCAAAACAGACTGGTTATCTAAAATGATGGAATAGTTCCATATTGCCGAACTAACAGGGAGGATAAGAGGAGATATGGTACAAAAAGTGAATAAGGAGTGGGCTATCTTTAAGGAATACATCAAAGTTTATGTGGAAAAAGTAGAATTTCTGACAGATATTGAGTGAATCCAGAAAATGATTAGAGTGAAAGGAGAGTAAAGTCAAGATAGAAGAAGAGATTAAAGAAATAATGAAATGTGTTTAAGCTAGTGGGAAAAATAAAGTAGCGTAACAAGAATGGCTGGAAGTCAAGTCACTTGGTGGGTGTCTGTGTGGGGTAGGTGTGTATGTACAGTATAGGTAGGTATTATATAGAGTACTGTAGGTATGTTTTATGTTATGAAAATAAGGTAGTGTGTTATGTATGTGCTTTGTGTAAACGTATATGTATATATTTTATATGTTAATAAATAAATAAATAAATAAATAAAATTGCTTTCAGAATCTCAAATATCCCAGTGTCTTTGGGTCTGGCAAGTACCATGGCCCACTGACACATTTGTTAAGTAATACACAATTATATTTGGAAGATCATCCCCACTTGGAAGATGGGCAAAGTGTTACCTCTCAAACCACTGTTGCATTAGACCACACACACAGGCAGGAATGGACCTTGAACAGATTTTTACCTGGTGGAATACACAGACTCTCAATTTCTTCACTTCCTTTCATCATCATCATCATCATCATCATTTATTATTTATACCCTGCCCATCTAGCTGGGTTTCCCCAGTCACTCGGGGTAGCTCCCAACAGAATATTAATAACAACAATAATAAAAGATCAAACATCAAAAACTTCCCTAAACAGAGCTGCCTTCAGATGTCTTCTAAAAGTCAGATATTTGTTTATTTCCTTGACATCTGATGAGAGGCCGTTCCACAGAGTGGGTGCCACTACTGAGAAGGCCCTCTGCCGGGTTCCCTGTAACCTCACTTCTCGCAGAAGGCCCTCAGAGCTGGACCTCAGGGTCTGGGCAGAATGATGGGGGTGGAGACGCTCCTCCAGGTATACTGGGCCGAGGCCATTTAGGGCTTTAAAGGTCAGCACCAACACTTTGAATTGTGCTCTGAAAAGTACTAGGAACCAATGTAGGTCTTTCGGGACCCATATTATATGGTCTTGGAGGCCACTCAAGTACTTTGTCCAAGCCATCTACCAGTGACAGTGTGGTGTCTAAGGCCTCTTCCACCCTTTTGCTTGTCCCATACCTAGAAAGCACAGGTCCGAGATATATTTTCATGCTCCAGAAGAATTGCTAGGCTCCCATTTCATGTAAGATTTAGTCTAGCCCTTACAAGTTAGTCATCTGCCAAATGGGTTCTCTGCTGCTTTCCTTGCTCTTCATTTCTCTAGGCCTCTGTAAATAAAGCGCTCTCCTTGTGAGCTCCTGTTTTCCCCAAATGTTCAGAATGCTTATTCCAGGCTCTTTCAATAAATTATATTGTGCACTATATATAAGCACTGTGATGATATATACTGTCACCTGGAGGAACTGCATTGCACCTAGCACATGTTCAAAGGTTACATCTGGATAATGCTTATGGAATTCACCTGAGTGTAATAAGCGTTTGAGCATGACTAGGCCTATCTAGTTCCCTCTAAACAAATTTAAGTCTAGGCCGTGAAATTCCTGGAAGAGTTCTAGGCAAGCTTTCTTTGGTTCCACGCGTGCATTTTTCCATGGAACCAGGGGATGTTACAGCACCTGTTTATAAACACTGCAAATCCAAAATTAGCAGGGATGGATGGAAGAATCATTTATCAGCCCCTGGCTTCCCAAACCATCTTTAAAAAATGTCACAGATACATTGACACTTCTGCTGATGATTTAAATAGCAACCACCATCCAGCATCGACATCTCTACAAGAGGGCCCAGTACGTAAGGTTTCTGTCTGCATATCAGATGACTCATCAGCATGCCTGAGAAACTCCCTTTGACTACAGACTCCACTAGCAACACCCACAACAAACACTTGACCAAGGCTTGGGATAGTAGATGGGCTTTAGGACATAATCCTCTCTCATTGCTCAGAGGATGGCAGCTAAAACTGGTGTGCGTGTAGCTCTTGTTTTTCCAGGCTGAGCAAAGGCATGCGGATAGGAAGATCAGTCCTGTGACACCATCATTGCTCTCCCCAATCTCAAGGTTGTTGGGTTTGTGTACTTACTGTGATGACAGTCTTATGAATGGATCCTACATATATTGAGCTGCTTCACTGCCAAAAGCTTGCTACGTTCTTAACCTCCACACACACCAACATCCCAACGTGGTTTTTGATTGCATGTTGGCAGAAGAAACCAACGCATATCAGCCTTGATCACAAGAACACCCCCAAGAGGTGTCACTTTGGTCTAAATCAGGGATGGTCTAAATCAGGCATAGGCAAACTCGGCCCTCCAGATGTTTTGGGACTACAACTGCCATCATCCCTGATCACTGGTCCTGTTAGCTAGGGATGATGGGAGTTGTAGTCCCAAAACATCTGGAGGGCCGAGTTTGCCCATGCCTGGTCTAAATCCTGGGTTGCCACTAAAAGGACAGGATGCTGGAGTAGACAGGTCTTTGGCCTGATCCAGCAGTCTCTTCTTATATAGATATTTGTGGACTCCATTAGCCCTATCTCATACCCAGCAACATTTCTCTGGTGACTGCTATCTGGCATAGCCAATAGTCAGGGATGATGAGAGCTGTAGCTCGACAGCCTAGGGAGAGCCACGGGTTCCCCATCCCTGTTCTAAATGATCTAGCATATGAACTCAACTATGCTCATGCCACCCTAAAATTATACAAGGCCAAAATGTTGGCACAGCTCCTTTATGGATCCTTTCTTAGCCTACCATCCTCTGCTTTCTCCCCCCTCGAGAGGGTGCAATCCAAACTCCTCGGAGCTTTCCTACAACTCCCCAGATGCATATCAAACGCAAGGATCAGACGAGAAATGGGGATGATGAGGGTGAAAGCTCACATCAGCCTAACATCAATCTATAAATGGCTGTCACTGAAATTGCTCCCTCGTGGTATAGTCCCACTGATCCTTTGTGACCAGTTCCAGTCAGGCTGGCAGACAGCAGTCCTGAACACTCTTCTGAAACTGGGTTTTGCCCCTCAAGCCCTTCTAAGTCTGGGCTTGGGCCAAGCAAAAGCAATGGTTAGGCAAAGAATTATAGACACCAAGAGACAACAGGACTGCTTAAGGTACCCCGACTGCAAAATTGTAGAAAGCGAGAGAGAGATAGCTGCACCAGCAGCATACCATATTTTTCGCTCTATAAGACGCACCAGATCATAAGACGCACCTAGTTTTTGGAGGAGGAAAACAAGAAAAAAAATATTCTGAATCTCAGAAGCCAGAACAGCAAGAGGGATCGCTGCGCAGTGAAAGCAGCAATCCCTCTTGCTGTTCTGGCTTCTGGGATAGCTGCGCAGCCTGCATTCGTTCCATAAGATGCACACACATTTCCCCTTACTTTTTGGGAGGGAAAAAGTGAGTCTTATAGAGCAAAAAATACGGTAGCTCTTTTTTCTTGTATCTAAAAATGCAAGAAGGGCTTTTACACTTGCCAGAAGCTCGGCTCTGCCCTCGCCGGTCTTGGAAGCATCCTTTAAAAAAGTCCCATGTGACCAGAGAATTTGCGCCTGTCCGTTGGGGGGATATAGGAAGCCCTGAACACCTATTTTTTAGATGTCCCTTTTATGATGAGGCATGTAGAGAAACCATTGACCCCCTGCTGGTAAGGCTTACTGACCTCCCGGTAAAGCAAAAATTTGATCTTCTCCAGTTAGGCAAAGATC